ACAGTTTGAAAACCACGATGCATCAGCCCAGGAGCCCATCTGAGCACAGCCCAAGTGTGTCTGCGCCGATTGGGGTGGGTGGGTGGGGTTGGAAGGGTGTGATTTTGACCTGGAACGATCTGGCTTTGTTCTGCTGCAGCCATCAAACTTGCAATCCAGTTGGGATCTCCCTGGATCACCTGCAGGGTTGATCCAGTTGGGATCAACCCTCTACAGGGTTGAGGCGACCCTTTAGAAATCCTTTTGTGACTCCAGGGACACTAAAATAGATGACCCGATAGGGAGGTTGAGACCAGGACCTGAGGGAGAGTTGTGTGCCCAAGTAAAATCTAAGTGATCTATGCACACGGGCTTGCATTACTGGGCTGTCTTCACAGTTTCTTTTCCTCCTCTGCTCTCTGTTGACTTGGATGGTGAAGAACTAGCCGAATTCTCTCTAGGGCACCTTTTGAAGAACAAACAGAACAACGAGGTCACCTGGCATTTCCTTAGCTTGTCCTCCCTCAGAGAAAACCGTTCTCAGTCCCCTGCGGAGGGTGGCTGGCTGTAGGAAAGTCGTGTTATCTGTGGGACTGAAGGGGAAGGTGATATAAGAGTTACTGCGTGCCTGGGAGTGCCAGGTTCTGCTCTGGGCACTTATGCCTGTCATTGAATCCTCACGGTGACCCGCAAGCAGGTGTAGTTCCTCCTGTTCACAGGTGGCTCAGACAGGGTGACTGGCTCCCACTCCACAGCTAGGAACCAGAGCCAGGATTTGAGTGTTGCTGGCTGAAACTTTTGTGTGTGGCTTTTCTTCTGTGTCGAGCCACATTTCTCTGCTTCAGTTCAGGGTTTTCGGGAGAAGGATGGTTACCATCTGAGGCCGGGGCTGTAACCACTGTCCGACCTCCACCTGGCTGTGGGGAGAAGTCACATCTCTCAGGGGATCCTGGGCAAGGAATTGATGCTTACGGGGGCAGTATGGTGTGTGAGTCCAGTCCTGCCATTTTCTTTCCCAAGTCTCCAGCTCTCTTCAGAAGGCTGGAGTTGTCTCTGTCACATTGGCCAGAGTCACCAGGCAAGTGAGGGCAGATGGTCCGGCTGGCAGCTCAAGCAACTCCTCCCCCCAGAGGCTGGAGATCTGAACTTAATACCTTTCCTTCTGGCAAGAGGGAGAAGGAGGGGCAGGTGGTCGTGGTGACGGCTGAAGCACAGACAGGTGAGAAGATCATAGAATTGGAAACGATCTACGTGACAAAGCGTGACCCAGCCTGAGTGGTTTAATTCTTGAGGTTCGTACGTTGTGTTTGAGGTCAGGGGCCTTGTCTTTCCCATTTGGCTGGGACGATTAGGGGACAAAGATCAGGATCATCTCTCCCTGCAGGCCCCTCTCCTCTTTGGACATCCACCCTTCCTGGGCAGAACAGGGCTCCCTTTCCACGGCAAGGCCCCCAGGTTAGGCCCAGGGGAGGCAGGAAACTTCTGGAGGGAGGAGCCCTGATCTAGGGGCACACTGTCTTGAGCTAATGAGGCCGTGGAAACAGCTTGGTTTGTCTCTTCCTTCCACCCCAATCTTTGGGTCTAAAGTCCTTCCCCCACCCCCTGCCAGCCCCTGAAAGACTCCATTCTGAGGCCTTTGGTTTAATCTTTTATTTGACACAAAGGAGAAAGGGATCTGACACCAGTTTATCCTTTAGAGTGTGCAGAGCTCTGCCCACCTCCCTACCACCCTCCAGCCCCAAATAAGCCCCAAACCCAAAGTTATTGTAGCCCTAAAACCCATCTAAGCAGATTTCCTCACACACAACCTTTATTTTCTTCCTCTTCTACGCCTAGAGAAAGACTTCTTTAGGGATAAAAGACTACACGAAGCCCAGCCCTGACCTCCAGC